TCGGCTTGGGTCATGAACCCAGGGTCCTGGGATTGAGCCCAGCATCATCAGGCTCTCCACTTAGCGGGAAGCCTGCTTCCCCTCCTCCCCCTCTTTCTCTCTGCCTGCCTCTCTGCCTCCTTGTGATCTCGGTCTGTCAAATAAATAAATAAAATCTTTAAAAAAAAATGATGTAATATGATTACTTTTGTAATATAAAAGTAAAGGAAAGGACTTCACTGAAGAGTCTACAGACATTACAAAGAAAGAGAATATTATAAACAACTTTGTGATAATAAATTTGAAAAATTATATGGAACAGAAAAATGTCATAAAAGAGACAAATTAACAAAACTGACACAAGAAGAATTAGCAAAGCCATTTCTAAAAACTTCCCCATGAAGATAACTTCAGGACTAGAAGAAATCACCGGTAAATTTTACCAAGGATTTATGGAGGGAAATGATACAAAATACACCTACTTTTTCAGAAAAATAGAGGTAGAGGGGACAACTAATAGGGGGGCCAGAATTTCTCTGATAACGAAACTAGTTGAAGATACTGCAAGAAATCTACAGGTCAATACCCTTGATGAAGATAGGTCCCCAAATCCTTACCAAATTATTTGTAAGTCAGATACAGCAAGATATAAAAAGAGTAATGCATCACAAGCAAATATGGCTTATCCTAGCAACATAAAGTTGCTTTGACATTTGAAAATAAAATAATGTAATTCAGGACATTAACATCACAAACGGGAAGGATTAGATAATTTCTACAATAAATGAAGAGAGAAAGGAATTCTATAAAATTTAATTCTCATTCATTACTGAAAATGTTCGCTAACTAGAAATAAAAGGACATTTTCTAACCTCATAAAGGTTATCTACAGAAAACCTATACACCATCACACGTAGAAGTGAAAGACTAAAAACCTCCCCTTACCTACAAGAGAAGTATGTCCACTCACTACTATGGTAGACAAGTTCTTATCAAGTACCAACAGGCAAGAAAAACAAATAAGAGGCTTATATATCGAAAAGGAAGAAACAAAACTCACACTGTGTACAATCAACAAGGTTAGATTATCCTAATCCTAAGGGAACTACAGAAGTCTTGTTAGCACTAATAAATGAACTCTCCAAGTCTGCAGGACCAAAGATCTAGATATAAAAAAAATCAACTGTATTCGGATAATCGAGCAGAGAGCAATTAGAAAATTAAATATTGAAAACAATACTATTTACAGGAGTACCTGTAAATAGTAATAGTTAAGGATAAATTTAACAAAATGGAGCAAGATCTGAACATTATAAAATACAAACGTTGCTGAAATGTAGAAAATCCTAATGAAATGGAGAGATGCGCCATGTTCACAGATTGGAAGTTTTCATATTTCTAAGATGTCAGTTTTCTCCTAGTTGATTTCTGGAGTCCATGACATTTCAGTCAAAATCCTCACAGATTTTTTGGTACAAATTGACGAGCATATGCTAATTTTTTTTTGTTTTTAAACTGGAGAAGTAAATGACCTAGAACAGGCAAAACAATCTTGAGAAGGAACAAAGTTAAGGGATTTACTCAACTTGATTTCAAGACTTTACAGCTGTGGTGATTTTCTCTAAAAAGAGCCACTCACAAATCTTCTTCCTCTTTAAGTGTTTGCCCCTCTTTCCATCAAGGGGCAGAGTTTATTTCCCTTATCCATAAATGTAGGCTGGCCTGTCTTGTGACTTGCTTTGACCAACAGACTGCACTGGAAATCATTCTGTCCCCTGGACTTAAGACTTGTGAGGCTTACAAACTGCCATCTTCATTTTCTTGGAAACCTGAGGTATCATGTCACTAAGTCTGACTAATCTGCTAGAGATAAAGGCCATGTGCAGAGCAGCTATATTAGATGTTAGATTCATAGAGAGGTGGCGAGGGGGAGGGAAGGGTTGGCAGACAGGGCGAGGGCATGTGGGAGGAGGGGAAAGGAAGGAGGAGAGCAAGCCAAACAAGGTCCAAGCAGCCTCCAGCCATGTCTGCCATCTTGGACAAGGCTCAGGACATCTGAATAAAACTGTCCTGGATTCTTTAGACCTAACTGACCTCATGAATCAACTTTATGTGCAGGAGAAAGGAGCCTATCCTGGCCAACTCCTGCCCAAACTGCAGAACCATAAGCAATAACTGGTTGTTATTACTTAAGTCACAAATTTCTGGCATGGTTTATTACACAGGTGTAGAAACCTGAAACACTGAATGACTGAGCAAATGAAAGACACTCTCCTTTTCTTCACAGGATGCTAGCAGCATTACCATATTGTGCTAACATTTAAATACTCTCCAACTCTTCTCTATAGGTTTTCTAGTTGACAGGTATCTTCTGTAATTACTCTTTAGAAATTAAAAGATAAGGAGATTTTTATGTAGCATGAAACGATCAGGTAATTAAAAGATCTGTCAGATTAAATTTCTGATTAAAGATGTTATGGATGCTTATTGGAATCACAATATTAAAAAAAAATCACTAGTTTTCCACAAAATCAATGTTTATCTTTTGTTACATTTTCTTCAGTCTATTTATGCACTGATGTACTTCATATAAAAGAAAATAAATACTTTCTTATAAGTAAGATAATATTTTCTATAAAGACTGCACACTATTTCATTGTCAGCTCAGTTATTAAGAACATGGTTTGGAGATAATTGCTTATAGGACATATCTTTTTTTATAGGATCTTAAAACTTATAAAATATCCCTCCCTTCTCTCGTATTAGTGAGATTCTTATTATAAGAACCAAACTGTAAATGCCTATAGCAAAATAATTTTTAATAAATATACTTTTCTATAATGTCATCTGCATATAGAATAGGCTATATATAAGAAAAAAAGCCTTTGGTACGTATCAATGTCACATGAAGTTCATTGTAGAAGGTGTTGTTTATCCCATTATATGATATTTTATTATGAGGATCCCACTGACAAATTTCTTTTAATTTTGGAAATTGAAAGAATTTTAAAAAATCAAAAATTACGTATCTTTTAGATAAACCATTGTGTGTATCCTGTGAATAGGCCTGAATTTACAACTACTGTTTAGGTTTTCTTTTTCAAAGTACGGAATAAGATATGGGGCTCCCCTGCCAAAGGATAGCTGTATTTTTTTTTTTTTTTAAAGATTGTATTTATTTATTTGACAGACAGAGATCACAAGTAGGCAGAGAGGCAGGCAGAGAGAGAGGGGAAGGGAAGCAGGCCCCCTGCTAAGCAGAGAGCTGGACGGACTCAGGGCTCGATCCCAGGACCCTGGGATCATGACCTGAGCTAAAGGCAGAGGCTTTAACCCACTGAGCCACCCAGGCGCCCCAAGATAGCTGTATTTTTGAAATTTGCTCTCCTTGGTTTTGAATTCATTTCTTTGCCTCCACATTTAATTTTTATCTTTCAGACATAAATTATGAATGCCTATAAACTGTCCGTAATACCTTTTGTAAACAGGTAGGATTTTAATCAATTTAATTGATCATATCTTACTTTTCCATTTAGTATTTTTCCAAAATTTTAATAACTGCATAACATTTTATTATATTAATGCACTATTATTTAATTAACCATACTCCAGTGCTAGAGATAATAGATTAGTGTTCACTTTTTACTTCATAAAGATTGTAATAAGCAACTTTGCACTTCAGTTGTTTTCCACAGATCTGATTTTTTTCTAGAATGAGAATTTCCTGCTAAAATAGTCTTGAAATATGTTACTAAATTTCTTTAGAAAGATTATAATCATTTGCACTCTCACCACCAGGGTGCCTACCTTAACATACCTTGCCAGCATTGAATACTGCCATTGCTCAAGATTTTGTTAATGTGACTACTGGGAGGGCATTAAATGATTTAATGTGCATTTCTTGGATTATCAGCAAAAGCCCATATTCCCAAAAACGCTTCCTTTGTCTTGTAGCACGTATTCAAGTGTCTTCCTGTCTGTCTGTTCCATAGATCTGTGTCTATCCATGTACTAATGCTATGTTTTCAAAGAGAAAAATACCTAGTATGCAATTTTCAATTTTCAAGAACAAGACAATTCTTATCCACAACACCAATACTGAGAATCTCTCTCAAGGAAAAAATCCAAAAATAGAAAATATTTATGTAAATGGTTATCCTCTACAACATTATTTATAGTAGTAATAAATGTGATGACATAAATGTCCCTACTGTTGAAATAGTTGTGAAACTATATGCTTAAAGAGTGTAATATTAGATATGAAAATCATGCTTATGGAGGTTGCCAACCATTAAATATTCAGTTAAAATATATTGTAATATTGGGGTATTTCAAATATTAATATGAAAAACACCTGCTACATTATGCTAAATTGATATTAGGATAAAAAATATTATTTTCTCCTAATTAAAAAAGTGAAGAGAAGGAGGTAACTTACAAAATATTGCTATAAGTATTTAACTCTTAATTAGTGGAATTATGGATGTTTATATGCTCTTTCCTGGAACTTCCATTATTCCCTGAATTTCATACATGCTATACTGCTAATCTACTCTAGATGAAGGCAAAACTATATATTTAAAAATACAATGCTTTTATAATTATTATTATTAAAAAGTTATTCTAATTCCATTGCCTATATTCCAATCTCTGCTTATTAATACTTTTACTATCTCTTAGCTGAAGGAATTAGAAAAAAAAACACTGAACAGAAGACTCCTAATTTAAAAGTTCACTTTTCTGATGCAAAAGGTTAACATGGTATTAAATTAGGACCAAAGCAAATGAATAAATGATCATGTTTTAAGAGGAACAAAAAGTATCGAGGAGAAGGACATCTCAAGTGTTAAATTTTTGACTCTAAATTAGTAAAAACAATCCACCCTGGTGTGTGGCTATATAATCTGTATTCTAAAACCATCATAACATCAATTAAGGTTCTATGGTCTCAGCTCACTACATTCCTTCTGTTCAATTTGGATTTCTCAGGGCAGAATGATTAGTGAGATCTTGAACTCTACCTGTCAAATGACGGCTTCTCTCCACAGTCAAAGGCATCCTGGAGCTCCTTAACGAGGTTAGCCTGGCCTGGCAGCCGGAAGAGACCCTCTTCTTTCAGCCCCCTTTGTCGGATAAAGTCCACACACTGCTCCACCAACATTGGGGCCAGACGATTCCCATATCTCTTCTCAAAACGGACAGTGTCCTCCAGCTTCTGTCCAAAAATGCCTGGAGAAACAAAGGATCACAGTGAATTTGAGGAATTTCTATCACCCCACCTGGTTACTTTAAAACAAAACAAAACAAAACAAAACAAAACAAAAAACAACTCAATATAAAGGGAAAACAAAGATAGAAAGGCTGGCAAGCATTTTACAATGGGGACTTCACATTTTTACAGAATCAAATCCACACTACACAATTCTTTGAAGGAAAAGGCTTTGCCTTATGCTGCCCTTCCCCCCTAATACTCCATATTTAGCCCCACACCTAACAGACACGTGAAGTTGGAGATAGCCACCTTGATATAAGAGACACTGTAATGAATAAAAGTTTGGTTTTGGGTTTTCTTTTTCTCCCGCTTGGGAAATGAATCGTATGGAAGAAATATTCTGCAGAGAATAGTCAAATTCTACTTTTTGCTATACTTGAACTTTCTGTCCAGTTATCATTTAGTGTAACTGTTGCTCATTTCTCTGTTCACCTTTTGTTTTCAAACAAGGAATGATGCCATGATTGTAATCAAAGTGATAAAACCAGGTAAAAATGCCCAGAATCTTCATCTGCATGAAATATGTCAGGCTGCAATATTTCATCTTTTATTAAATATTTATTTTATATTATTTATTTAAATAAATGATTTAAATATTTATTTTCTATTATTATATTACTTTTTTTGAAAGGGAAAAATCTGACTCATGAAGTAGTGCCTATACCAAAAGCAAGGCAGCAGAATCCCGGCAATTTGCCCCTGACAGATGGGAAAGCCTCCTTTATCACACATTATCTAGAACTGCCAGCCCACAGTAGTGTTTTAGCCAGTTTTAATCAGTCTTATGAATGATTTTTAAATAACCACAAAGAATGAATTCCTTGTTGCATGCATTTGGGGCTGAACATACCCACTATTCGTGCCTGGGACCCCGCTGATTAAAAAACAATTCCTCTAGTGGTGGGTGTGATAGCTTCAAGGTTCAAGTGTGGAGTGGGAGCCTTGGTCAGGAGGGCCCTGAGGGCCTGCAGTCCCAATGGAGTGGCTGCTGTGCTGGTGGAGATAGTGTTCCTACCGATGATGAACAGATAACTAGGCTGGAAATGGAGGCCATGAAGGCTGTTTGGAAGACACTGGGCCCTTCCAAAATTCTAGTCCCAAAAGCAGCTTTAGACACCAAGGAAGACCCTAATTTTGTCCCAGCTATCCCCAACAAGCAAATAGTGGGCTCTATCTATGAAGAAGACAAATAGTGCTCTCATCTCATCTGGTTCTGGCTGCACAAAGGTTGAGACCCAGCGATACCCTAACTGTGGAGTTCGTCACAAGCTGGTGCCCCACCAAGTGGGCCCACTAAGCCTTTATACTAACTTACTCAAAATGTGCTGTAAACTTTCTTCTTTTTAATAAAGAGTAGCCATTGTATTGGCTTCTTCTCTCAAAAAGAAAGAAAGAGAGAGAGAAAGGAAGAAAGGAAGGCAGGCTCTAAATATATTAATACCAGGGGGTAGCTTGGCAAAAACGATATGCCTACGAGAAAAAAAATGGGGAAAGCCCAAGCAAATGTCACTCCAGTGTTCCCAGATGGGATGAATCACTGAATAGTTTTAATGGTCTAATGGTTTCATACAAGGGAAAGAAAAATTAGTGTTGCATGTTGAAATTATGTGAGACTCCAGAATACTTGGGGAATTATTTAAAAAATACTAGGTTAAGAATTGAACAATAAAAACAAATGTTTTACCTCCCTACCTGTAAAATAATTTATTTATGGATTCAGCAATGTAAATTCACACTCCAAGCAATGAACAACTGTGACCGAAGAGAAAATTTTTAGGCCTGGTAGAAACAATAAGACAACAACAAACCAAACTATTCAACACCTGATATCAAATCTAGTATTAAGGGAATTCATGTATTCACTTTAGGAAAAAATGTTGAGCGAACTAATATATAGATAGCAATATATATAGAAATATTAGAAAGCAAAATATATAGAAATATATAGAAAGCAAAATATATAGTATATATAGAAAGCAATATATAGAAATATATAGAAAGCAATATATAGAAAGGAAATATATGTATATAGAAATATAGAAAGCAAAATTAGAAAATGGCATCTTCTAAGGGCAGGAAAATTAATGTAGGCCGCAGGTCTGTTTAGCTAAATTTGTAGACTTTGGAACAAGTAGTTTCTCAATGGTGTGTCAAAAATGGTTTGCTAACTCAACATTCATACCCCCATTTTCTCTTGTCATTTCCATTTTAGGGACTGGAAAATTAAATACCTCTCCCACTTTTTAAGAAGTCTTTGGAGTCTTTAGGAAGATTTTTGGTTTTGTTTTTGATGAAAGAGAGAGACAGCTGGAATTGCCAATCACTCCATTTTTCTACCATGAACTAGGTCATGCTGTTGATCTAAGAGTCGTCTTTCGGCTATTAGATAAGCAATCATGAGGGAAAGACTGAAAGATTCAGAGACAATGGGGATGAAATTATTGAACCACTGACCTAATACCAGCAGCACATTCTTTTTGATTTTTTTTTTTAATGTGAGAAAAATGCATGTTTACCCATTGTTAGCTGTGTTTTCTGTTGGTTGCAACAATACCAAATTCTAACCATGCAGTGGTAATGATGACTTTGAAGATATTTTAGTATTTTAATAACAAAGCTTGAAAACTGATTATGAATGGAGAATACTGACTCTTTTTCTGTGGAGTTCTTTGATGCTCATTTGCCTGAGAAATTCAGATTCTATTATGCCAAACTTAAGAAAATAGCCTTTCAAAGGCACTAACCATTTATTTTTATAAATAACAATATTGATATCTGGGAATACATCTTATGTATCTGTGGTTTTTTGCTTATTGTTTTAGATTGATAAATATATTATCTAAAGTTTCTCTCCAAATCCAGCAGAAAACTGACTAAAGATGTTGCAACTCAATATCTATGAACTATGTGTGCTACAAATGAGAATCAAACTTTCAAGATTTTGTTCTACACAGTAATAAAAAACAGTCAAACATTCTTTTAAAATTCCCAGAATTTCTTTTTTCCCAACAACTTAGGGACATGATAAAGTAAGGAGTAAGCTTTGCTTTATGGCTACTCTGGTTTGTTTCCTTCCTTCCTTTCTTCCTTCCTCCCTCCCTTCTTTTTTCCCTTCCTTCCTGTATATACAGCTTTGTGTTGTAGTAAGAATTTACTTAAGTACAGCAGGAGGGACACCTGGATGGCTCAGTCAGTTAAGAATCTGCTTTTGGTTCGGGTCGTGGTCCCAGTGTTCTGGGATTGAGTCCCACATCAGGTTCTTTGCTTAGCAGAGAGTCTGTTTCTCTCTCTGCCAGCCACTCCCCCTGTTTGTGCTCTCTCTCACTCTCTCTCTGACAAATAAATAAACAAAATCTTTAAAAAAAAAAAAAGTATAGTAAGAAACCAAAAACCAAAAGCCCTAACATCTTTCTATTTAATTTTTACTAAGTCTCTATTATGTACTAAGTCCTTGACATATATTCTCTTATTTTCATAATAAATATATAAGATAACTGTCTTATACATGAGGAAATTAGGACTCAGAAAGGTTAAATGAATAGCTCAAGGTTAGTTACACAACACCATGTGTCAGAATGGAAGTCCACATTCAGATTTATTCAGCCGTAAAACCTTTTCCCATTCCCAAATACCAGTCCTCTTCCTTCTTATTTAATCATAATGATTATATGTCCTCATTTCCTAGTAATTTAACATATTAGTAAACTCTAAAAACAAATAGAATAGAGTTCCTTTTCTGTGCTCTAAAAAGTGATAATAGCGAAGATGTACTTATCTATCTCAGGTGTGGGTACAAATGGTTTATCGGCATTTCTTTCATTTAAAACTCACACTACTTTATGAGGAGGGCACTACTATTGTACCACGGAGAAGACAAGCACAGAGAGGTTAAGTGACTTGCTGAATGTCACACAGCTAGCTGGAAGTGATGGACCTGGGATTTGTTCAAGGCTCTTGGATTTCAGAGCCACACTGTATTTAATACACTGTGAGGTGCGCACACTGGCTGCAAACTATGTTACTGAGGGAGAAACCTGCTGCTTACTAGCTTTCTGACCTATATCTCTGTTATCAAACTAGCAGGAGTAATTTCTGCTGAGAAAATGCAGATTTGGAGGAAGATCAGAAAAAAAAAAAAACCAGAGATGGTGAAAACTCTGATTATCTTCTACGAGCTGCCCAAGGAAATGATTCTCTTTATGTAAACAGCTATGTCTGTTTAGCAATATAATATCTAAGGGAGTGAAAGCATGTAGATGTTCGCTACACACACTTAGAGATTCCTGTGGAAAATTTATAGTTTTCTACTCCAAGTCTGGTGTTGCAAAGAATTAGTAAGTGATTGTAATAGATGTATACTTCCTATTTTGTAGCATTGGAAATAGAATGTCCCAAACATCTCTGTCTTACAACAGTAGATGTGAATTACTGTCCTATATGAGCTTGTTTTTTTTGTTGTTGTTGGGTTTTTTTTTTGTTTTTTTTTTTTTTTTGCATGGAAGTTCAGGGAGAAATTTTTTAAAGCTGTTTTGTTTAGCATTTTCATTGAGGAAGCAGTGAAACTTCAAATTTTAAGATTAACTAGAAAGCATGAAGGTCATGAGCCTATCCCCAACTAGCAGCATGGGGAAAAGGACACTGACTAGTAGATGATTAACAAGAATATACTCTGTGATGTGAGTCATGCAAACGGTTCTAGCTATGTCCACTTAAATTCCCAGGGAGGTTTCACACTACCTGACAAAGCCATCCCTGGAATTTCTAGGTGACCAAAGTACATCAGGTGTGCTTCCCTTGGAAATACATTGATGGTGTCATAAAGCATCACCAAGGAGGTGACTTTTCACAGGGCTGAGAAGGTAAATTACACAGGTGATTTTATTATACCTGTGGGAGGCTGTTCCAACTGAAGAGAGAGAGAAAGAGATCTAAATTTCCTTCAGGATTTGTGAGGTTC